TTGTGCAAAACCTCCCTTCCTCCCAGCCCCCGACAGTCGCAAAGTGAGATGTTAGGATGTGATTTTTGCCTTTAAAAGCCTTTAGCTCTAAAGGTTTGGAGCTACATTTGGGTCTCTGAATACCAGAGTGTAGTTCCAGCCAGCTGGAATAGACTTCCAATTGGATATAAACTATGTTTGCGTGGTCATCGGTGGGGGTTCTCTGTCGTGTTACAGGGCGTTACACCACCATCTTTCAGTGTGAAATTCCATCTCTTGGTTGCTACAGTTTTAGCAACAAAGCCTGCTGCCCAAGTAAAACAATAAAGGGATGCTGAGTCTGACTTTGGGCTGAAAATATGACTTAGTGATTCTGCCACTGAGCCCAGCATACAGAAGGTCCTGCGTTCAAACCTCAGTGATCCGGTTTAGGGGTCTTGATCTGATTCATTTTGTCTGCCAGTTGTAAGAACTGAAAGGTAGAAAAGCATCTCAATTGAGACAGGTAGTAGTGTAGAAATCTCAGATACAGCTAACAGGAGCTTAAAAAAATCAACAGTTGAAGAAAGGTGTTTATTGGGGTGAGGAAACATCCATGCAGCAGAAACACAAAGAAAAAGACCCTCGGCAAAGCAGAGGGGGGCTCAGAAAGCTGAGAAATCTAGTCTCCTCTAGAGGGTTGGGGTTTTTTTTTTTGTTGTTGTTTGTTTCTTTGTTTTTTAAGTCTGAAGAGATTTCCTCCCTGATTTAGGGTAGGTCTGTTTGGAGAAAGATAGGATGGTTGGCCCACAACTGTTGCGTAACATAACCTGATTCAACCTGGAACTTGTTGGGCCAGTCCCTCGCCAGAGGGATTGCGGGCAGGAGAAAGACCTTTAAATCTTTAATATGCCAGTGGAGGATGAAGAAGAAGCCAGCCACCTTGGAAGTTCACCATCTTTATTACCTAGTTGTGGTCCCTCTCTTTCATCTGTCTACCTACCAGATAATCTCACTCCTAGTTGCTCACCAGTCCTGAAAAGAAAGAATGTATTTCTGGAAGATTGTCAGGATGTTTGCTACTACTGGGCGGAGTCATGTCATGTGGCTCTGCTTATACAAAGGGAGGCTGGGTGACTTTCTTCCTTGTAAGCCTTTTTACTGAGGACAAAATCTGGGCTTTGCCTTCAAGAAAGGTGGGGTGGCCTAAGTTCCAGCGCACATGGACACTGGCCAACAGGTGTCATGTTAGCAGAAGTGTGGGTCATTTTGAGCTTCCCCCAGGCCACATTGTATTAATACTGTTCACACCAAAAGCAACAGGCTTGGTCCATAGAGTTATTCATCAAAATCATTCCTTCATTAGCAGCATAACGTTTTCAAAACTCTGTCATCTATGCTTGTCATAGGGAGAACAAGGACAGAATCCATGTGGCTCCTGGTCCCTGACTTCAGTCTCTGGCGTCAGAATGAACAAAAGTAAGAAACAGGACAGTGTGTCTGATTCCATCCTGACAGATGAGACAGGTTTTGTAGTTTAAAGATTTCTTTCTATTACTTTTAAATGTGTGCATGTGTGCACCCGACTGCACGTGGTGCTGGGAACTGGACTTGGGGCCTCTGTGAGGGCAGCGCATGCTCTAAAGGCCAAGCCATCTCTATAGTTCACAGGTTAGTTTCTACGCATGTGTGTCCATCCTTCTCTTCTGGCCATAACACATGGTTAATTTTTTCCATATTAATATGGCTTTGCATTTATAAATTAAGTCAATCTTCAGCAACTTAGCATGTAGAAGACTAATACGAAAGACAATGCCAGACATGTAAATGCCTCTACTATCAAGTAGTAGAAACCAATGCCTTTCAGCTACACGGAGTGCTGTTGAGCTCGTTAGCCCCAGTTGGTGGGTGGGGATAGAGCTGTTTCAGCGGCATTGACGCAGCCTTACACTTGGCTGTGGTATGAACTTTTCCCCTCACATGTCCCAGGTCAATTCATTGGCTGGCTCATGCTAGACACCCAACAAATACATTTGCTGATCCGAATTCAAAGGCACATAGATCTCACTCTGCTAGAACATTAAGAATCACACGGGAGTTCTTTAAGGTCAAATTAACCCTGGCCCTTGCATCTTATAGGGTATAGCACTTCTCTGTGGTAGGCGTTAAACCCCAGCTCAGTAGGCACACTGTCTCACCTGCAGATATTAGTACCTGAAGATGGTGCCTGCGGATGCTCATATCTAAAGATGGCGGTACAGAGTGGGTAGCATCCAAAGAGTAGCAAAGTGTTTGTTGAAGGTTTTTTTTTTTTTTTTTAACATGCCAAATGTTTTGAGATGCTGAACCTGTCAGCCCCTGGGCAGCACATATCATCTTGGAGGGCCGCACAAACTCTAGTCTCTTCACTACATGGCATGGGCGAGCAGGCTTATACCATAGGCTCTCTATGGTGTACAACGTAAGGGGTCAAGCTTAATAGTCACATAAATATGAAAGAGCTTATTTTCCCAGGAAACCTCACTCTGCCTAGTCTCTTAAAGTGATGAAAAAATTTAGGCTTTTTTATTTAGCTATCAGTAATGTACCAAATCATATTGCACAAATTCTTTTCAGAAAGAGACAGAGACTAAATCAAATAAACAACTTGAAGTATCCCAACAGCCTAAGGACTGCTACCAGGACATCTGGAATGTGATTGCTGTCCTTTCCATTGGCAGCACAAAGATGTGGACTTAGGAATCCTTAGGTGACCTTTCAAGAGCTTTGTGCTTGTCCATTCTAATGTGGGAGGAGCGGTGCTGGAGGAAGATTCAACAAGTAGTGGATACTTTTCTTCTCAGTTCTCGGAGTCCTCTGTTCTTGTTCTGCATTAGATTAGCGTGAAATGTACTACACATCTATTCCTCACAGAAATACCGCCACCAAGTTGGGACCTGAGGCCATTGTCTAAAGTTATAAGACGGCTCAGTGAGTAAAACTGTGTGGTTTCAAGTCTGATGATCTGAGTTCGATTCTCTCAACCCATTATGTATGTATGTATGTGCTTAAGTATGTATGTATTTGAGTATGTATGTATGTATATATTTGAGACAGGGTCTCATGGTCCAGTTTGGCCTCACCTTACTATGTAGTTGAGAGTGACCTTGAACTTCTGACCCCCCTCAACATTCCTGAGTTAATAGTTTCTTTAATGCATATGCAAAGCGGTTTTTAATCTTCTCTGAGCACCCTGACCAAGGCAGACATTGTCTTATCTTTTGTAGCTCTGGCACCTGACCAGTGGGTACAACAGCATGAAAAACACCATCCACATAGCTACAGAATACAAGAAACAAGGAGGCAAAATATAACAACAAGTAACCACTCATAAAGTTTTTGGGAAAAAAGAAACTCAAGGCCAGAAGCTAAAACCTACCTAGGGGAGAACGGTCGCCCAGCAGACCCAGCAAACTCGAAGAGGCTTTGTTGGCAGGCTTTGGGAACAGTTTGATCATTCAAATACATCTCACACTTGATTTAGTAAAGACATGGCCTTTTGAAACTCAGTCAAGGTCACTACAATTTGGTACTGATAAATTAGTTGAGATTATAGTGCTCAAAATTCGAAAAAAAGTTGTGATTGTTTTTGGGTCTTCTGCGAGGGAAACAGGTCTGGAGTGGTGACTGCCCACTGGGTTCTGATTGCATTGTAGGCAGCCTGGGATGCTCTCCTCTCTGTTCCAGAAAGGGAAGCCTGATGCCAAAGGGGAAGGGCAGAGGCTCTGCCAACTGGACACCATGGTTCACATGGCTTCAAAGGTCCTGAGCGTTAAATTTGGAAAATCACCTGAAGCTGATTGCCAAGAGCACAGTGGATTAAAACCGTTGCTGTCTTTCATGATTTAAACTGGCGCCAAAACAATATGAAAGAAACTAACATCATAAAAGATAGATACAGAGTATCCACTTGGCACCACAGGGGCTGATGTGAGGTGTGTGGGGAGCAAGGACCACATTAACATCATTTGTTGTAAAAAAAACCACCAGGCTATGCTGTAATAGTGGGCACAGAAAGACTGGCGCAGCTACACACACGACAGCCACCGGCAACACGTGAACAGGCACGAGATGGACTGGCACTCGTACGGAAGAGGCTGTTCAAAAAGTCTGGAATCTCAGCACTTGGTGGCGGAGGCAAGGAGTAAGTTCTAAACCAGCCTAGGCTAAACTGTCTCAAATAACCAAAAGAGGAAAAAAAAAAGTAGTGATGAATAGACGAGAGCAAGGTATTTTTAATTCATTCACGTCTCTTTCCCAATAATTTTCTTTTCGTAAATTCCCAATAAACCCCGCCAGGGCAGAAGTTGGTTTTGGAGAACCGAATCCGCAGGTACCTGCACACCTACCTTCTTTCATTCCAAGACAATCCCAACCGTCCCCGCCCCCTTACCTCCAGAGCCCCGCCCCTGACAAGATGAGCCCCGCCCAAGACACGGGAACCCCGCCCCCATCCAGGATTCTCGCTCCAGACCCCGGGTTCCTTCCAACGAGTGGCCCCGCCCAGATGGGCTAATCCCCGCCCAGAGGCGGGAGTTCCGCCCAGATGGGGGAGTCTCGCTTCAGACTAGGTCGTCCGTTCGGAGGGGTAGCCCCGCCCAGC